TTTTCACAGGTGTATAATATTCCATTGTATGAATATACCCTAATTTATTAAATTAGCTTTCTGTTGGTGGACATTTTGGGTTGTTTTCAATCTTTTGCTAGTACTAACAGCACAGCAGTAAATACCCTGCACATACATCATTTCACCTGTGAACAAGCAGACAGATTCCCAGAGTGAGATTGGTGGGCCAAAGGGTACATGTATTTATAACTTTTATACATATTGCCAAATTATCCTCCAGAATGCCTTCACCAATTTACTCTTCCACCAGCAATGTGTGACAGTGCTTATTTCTCACAGCCTTGCCAACAGATGATGTCATCTGGACTTGTGAGTCTGATAGGTAAAAAATAGTATTCCAGTGAAGTTCAATTTGCATTTCTCTTATTATGAGTGAACGTGAATAACTTTTCAAGTGTTTAAGAGCTATTTGAATCTCCAAATTTCTTAATTTTTCTAACCTATTTCCTTATCTATATAAAAAAAGAGCAGCATCTAATTTGTAGAGTTCAAGTTAGGCTCTTAGAAAGGGTTTAATACAGTGCTTGGCAATGGCAAGCTTCAACAAGTGGTAGCTGCTGTTATTATTACTACAATTATTATCAGGCTGAATTCTCTTGGTGAGTTTGGGGTTATTTAAGATTAATTTGGATAAAAAGACTTGAATGGAAACCAATACATGTGTCCCTTTGAGAGCCGTCCACCCTGACATTTCATCATTGCATATCTAGGACCCTATGGGACATGTCTTGAACCTCTGCACAGTGCCACAAACCCCGACGACTCACTGGTCCATATTTGCTGGTACTATAGGCGCATAGTCCCAAATGACTTCTTCTGCAGCAATGAAGTATTCCCACCTCTTAATGTGCCGCCTTTGCTCAAGAGTCATTTTGTTAGGCATTCTGGTTTTCTTTGGGCAGTTTTTAATGTTGATGTAAGCCTGCATCCCAGCTGAGTTAGGATATAAAGACAGTGAAAGAATTTGAGAGAAGTTATGATTGATCAAAATGCATACCTTTTAAATCAATTTTGGAAGGTTTACGTAATAACGGGGAAAGTAATGCTCAGGTAACTTTTTGATTTGGAACACTTTCAGTGGAGTGCAGAAGGGGTGAAGAATGAAAAAGCAGGGGAAAGGCAGGAAGAGTTAGGAAAAAAGCTTGGAAAGATTGCCTTTGTTTCTTCTGGAACAGGACGTTTGCTTAGCATTTCCAGCCCCTTAAAATTCTGTGACTTAGGTCTTGTTGAATTCTCATTTTTCCTGTCATCTGTTCCTTTATCTGTAAAATGAAGATAACACTAATACTTTCTTAATGAAATTATTGTTTAGAATTAAATAACAATACATAAATCACTTGTCTTCAATAAATATTAGCTTTATAGTTGCTTTATTATTATTAGGAACTCTATCTTCCAGGGATATTGTGACACTTTCATTACTTCAAGTATCATTTTGACTGCTCAATGTGAAAAAAACATAAAATGATCTCATGAAGTATCTCTTCTTCATATGTGTTGCTTATACATCATTTTGGTAACAAAATGGTTTTCTATAGCGAAATCATTAACTTAAATTTTAGTCTCTGTTTACATGAACCCTCCTCCCAACAATTTTAAGGCAAAAATGTGTAGTAAAGCAATTAGTTATTTTGTTTACATGATACCACGTAACAACTTGGGCTTATTTTTTTTTCCCCACCTGAATTCACTGATGTTCTTTAAAGCCCACCCCTCAGCTGTTTAGACATTATGTACTATCCATTCTACACACATTCATTAAGTCCCTCTCTGTGCTAAGCTTTGTGTTTATTTCACTGCAAAGGCTAAACTTTTCATGTTAAAACTTTTATGCTTTCTGTAACTTGGTGCTTCTGTAAATTTGCAGATGTTTGTCTTGTTCTAACATCTAGGTCTTTTCCTTTGGCTATGTATGACATATCCCCAAGAAAGAATACCTCTGTGTATACATTTGTTTCCTTCCTCTTTTTGAGGAAGTTGAGACCTCTTCAGCTTTTGCTTCATTTAAAAAAAAATCTTTGTCAATTCCTTCACTTCCTCCATCCCCAACCAATGAATTATTAGTCTAAGAGCAAAGTATCTAAACTCTGGTGTTAGGAACTTAGGCAGGTATGTCTAGGGTGCAGGTGGCTTAAAAGGGCAAAGGAGAAGGAGAGAGATAGTGCTGGGGAAGAAAGGAGCCTACATCCCGAAGCAAGACTGTCAGAAGAGTTTCTTGCCTTGCAAATGTTTTGGGGTGAGAGAAGATATAATCCACCTTCCCTCTGTGCTCACAGTCATATTTGCAGTGGTGGATGTAGCGCTGACGAGGGTGATGGCTGAGACTTTATGATGGTTTTGCTCCAGGACCTGGCCATTGAAATGAATGGAGAACATTTCCGGCCCAGAGCTCATTCCAATCAGGTGCCAGCTGACATGATCACGGGCACAAACCATTATATCTGAAAGAGAGGGAGGGACAGAGGCCAAAACATGTATTTAGTCCAGTACTCTGTGATCAAACATTTACTCACCAAATATGTATTGAGAGCTACTACATTGGGTCACACCAGTCTGGTCTTAGCTGGAAGGAGTCACCAGAACCTCTAATAGGGCTGAGCTCAAGGGCTTCATTATCAAGGTTCGGTAGAGGTCAAAGCTCTGCCTCTGGGACAGAAGATGTGAAGATGATGTGAGGATTTTCTGTTGCTTCTTTACTCACTTTTTGATGGTTTTAATGACAAGTCAATGAAATACTATGTGTGTTAAACTCTCACCTTAAAATGCAGTGGACAAGCCCTCGTTATGATGGGCCACTAGGAGCTTTTCATGGATGAAGTAATGATAACTGAGCACAAGAGCTTGGTTTTGCTCCTTTGCTCTCATAACAACTGAGAAAATGCTCATTTGCTCTATGGGAGACTCCAACACTGGCTTCTAGGCTTAGGTTTAAATTTCAGATCCATAATCACTAGATTATGCCCACTATAAAATGGGGCAGATAATCAGTCCCTTACCGTGTCCTGGGTTTGTCTTTTTTAGGAGGCTATGGTAACAAGGCAGGGATTCCTGATATCACTGGTGAGAACAAAAGCTAGAAAGTAGGAGGCTTTGGTGGAAGCATTTATCCACCCCCAAAGAAATGCTCATATTGAATTCAGCAATGAACACATCTGTATTAGCATTTATCATATTTATTCAATTTATACTGCTGCATAAGGCAGATGGTTTTACAAGCATTAACTATTGTCAGTTTCTACTGATGATGTTTCCCTACCTTATCCCTCTTACCCCCAGTTATTCTTTTTCAACTATGAATTTGTAAACTCTCTACTCTGATCAAGTTATTAATTTTGATTTCTGTGTGTATGGCTTTGCTTCTTTTTTGGCTTCAATATATTTACACAGATTGTTCATTCTGCCAGGAAATAGATGTTGGGGTTGATGGTTAGTCCATTTTTGTAAGTAAGCATATTGAGACAACTAATTTCCAAGGGCTACACTAGAGTAGAGAAGTGAATGAGGTTTGAACTCAGATCTCCCAAGGTAGAGGGCAGTTATCTAAGCCCCAGGTTTGCAAACTCCTGGTGTTAGTACTCAGAATCAATACCCAGAGTCATATGAGTATGTTTTTAATAATCCAAGTAGAAGATGGAGTCAAACGAAATAGAATACAATTTGAAAGCAATACATACATCCCAACTCTTTTTTTTTTTTTTTTTTTTGAGACAGTCTCACTGTGTTGCCCGGGCTAGAGTGCTGTGGCATCAGCCAAGCTCACAGCAACCTCAAACTCCTGGGCTCAAGCAATTCGTTTGCCTCAGCCCCCCAGGTAGCTGAAACTACAGGCACGTGCCACCATGCCCAGCTAATTTTTTCTCTTTTTAGTTGTTTGGCCAATTTCTTTCTGTTTTTAGTAGAGACAGGGTCTCGCTCTTGCTCAGGCTGGTCTTGAACTCCTGAGCTCAAACGATCCGCCCGCCTCAGCCTCCCAGAGTGCTAGGATTACAGGCTGAGCCACCACGCCCGGCCCCAACTATTAATGATACTTGTTTGTTGAGTAAGTGAAGCCATTGTGCCTGTCAGATATTAGAAAACAACCTCTACACAGTTTAATGTATTGAAATATGTTTGTTTATTAATAAAGTGATTTTTCATTTTTCAATTTTTTTCCTCAGGCTGGTGCCATATACCCTGGAACCTTAGTTATAAGTCAGTTCTACCAGAGAGGAGTATTAAATAGAAGTGGTGTGGTCTAGGTGGAAGTCAGTTGTTTTTCCTTTTAACAGTTGCTATGACTTTGCTTTCTCACAAGAGTCTACATACAAATGGAAAGAGAAAACATCCTACATGCCATTGAGTATTACTCATTCATCACTTTTTGAAATGCTAGCAGTATTTTTGTGTGTTGGGGATTATTCCTAATCTCCTGTTCATCTTCACTGCAAGTGTCTTTATTGCATTCTTCCTGCCAACCCTTCCTGCTAGGGATTGACCTTGAACTTCAGTAGAAGGAGGCATGGTCACCATATAGTAGGGATCATAGAGCTAATGGAGAAAGACTCAGCTGATGGCCTGGAGGTCTTTTTGGAGGTGCAGGCCAAGCTGAAACCCACTCAGATCACTATACCTCATAAGGCTGCACATTCCTTCTCTTATCCAGCTTCTAATTTGTCTGTTGTATTTTCTGTTTTCTTTAAAAAATGATGACAAAATCTTGAGAACTACTGCACTGGATTACATCACCTTTCTGCTAAGGAGTTGCAAAACAATGTGCCTCCTCAACTTCCCTAGTGCTTTGAAGAAAACAATTACCTGGCATCGTCCCATTCACATAGCCATTGACAGTGTACATTAGTGACGATGACTGGCTCCAGCTCTTGCTTTCATCAAACACAGCAAACAGCAGCACAAATTGCTTCTCAAACATCTTCTGAGTCCCATCCTCACTTAGGGTGCCTGTGAAGGAAAATACATATTTTCAAGAAACATCCCAGGTAGAATACTCTCATCAGCTTTCCTAGATAATAGAGAGTTTAGGACAAGCAACTAATCACAATGATATCAATTTGAAGTAGTTCTTATTTCTGAAAACAGCATCTTTATCAAGTAACATGGTTGGAGGGTTATTAAAATTCTGGTGCTATATTGTTTTCCTTGGCAACTTGTCGCCTTGGGGAACAGGGCTTTAAAGGTAAATTTTATCTGGTGCAGAAAGAAACCATTTGATGACTGTCAACGCTCTGTAAAAGTATCTTTTTCCTCCAGTCTCAATAGGCCAACATGTAGGTACCTTAGCTGAGTTGGTAAAAGGATCACACCTTGAGTTTAATGCTGTCATCTTGTTTGTATGTGAAATGGGGCACTAGAGGATTGGTTGGAAGTATCAGGATTAATCCATTCTCATATGAGGAAAAAATTCTGTTGATAGTAAAATGAAAAAAGAGCCTTTTATAAGTTTTAAACTTTTTTAGTGCCATCACAGTATCTTCTATATACTGGGCAATGAAAAAATATACCTGTGTAATGGATAAATACATTGGGAAGGTATGTGGATATGGTCTGTGTGATGGCGAGTCCATCACATTATTTCCCATGACACAGTTCATTGTGGTTGTTTGCTTGTTTTAATGAAAGATGACCTAAATTCTCTTGGGGTAAAATCCAAGCTTCCCCGTAAGAAGCCCAGCCAATACAATTCCTTATAAAGCCAGTTGAGTATGTTTGAAACCTACCACCCAAAGTGTTCAGTTTGTTTATGAGAAAGGAAGCTGGAGTTTCATGTATTTATAGACCAAATTACCAACCCAAACCTCAGATATGTCAGGTATGTTAGCAAAAGTTCTTTCCAAGAACTCTCCCACCAGAATATAGGCCAGTGCACTTTCAAAAAGACTTTGTCCTTGAGGTAGATGTTACAGATCATACAAGCCTGGCATCAGAACATGCTCTCGAACAGGAATTTATCTGGGAGAAGTTTCAGGATTGAGATTGAGGAGGAATTAGAAGAAACAAAGGGGGATCCAAGCCCTCAAATAGCAGATATTTTTTTCTCTTACCAAACAATGATCTGGTCTCTGCACCCTCTTCCTCTGCTTGAGGTGCAAGAAGTTGTCAAGATGCTCACAAGCCTCGTCCCATTATAGAACTCCTTACCATTCCAACATCTTTGTTGTTGTTAAGTCTTTTTTGTTGTTGTTGTTTTTACCTTTTTTACAGATAAGCAGAGGTCCAATCAGTCCAGAGTTGAAGTCTTGTACCAGATTCTCATGGGAATAATAGATATGTGTGAGGCAGGGAGGGTCATCGTGGGTAGGTCCACTGTCCTCACTAATAATCCACTCATAGGTATATTCTTGGCCTGGAGCTATAGCATCATCCATCTTCTCCACAGGGGATGTGTGGTCAGGGTAAGAAGCACCTGGAGAAGTAAAAGCCATGAAGACATCTGGGAAGTTTCTAAGGACTACTTTTTCACCACCCTTAAATCTAGGGGAAACTAAGATAAGCTCTCTAGAGATGTACATACATACCTTTCCACAGTGAACCTTTATTATTTGGAAAGATTCACATATATCTACATCTACGCCCATATAATTATAAAGTTGTTGATGCCATCGTGATGGGAAGAATAAAAAATGTTACTTGTAAATTAGAGTTTAGCAAGTTAATTTTCCAGGGTCCTCTCTAGGACTCTGCCGTACGAATTAAGAATTCCAGCCACTTTGGCTTTTCTAAAGTCCAAACTCTATTTTCTCAACTTATAGAGACTGAGCTGACCATCCTTATGCTATTCCCTGGAAACTCTCTTGAAGCACTGAGCTTGGGTTCTCACAGGGCCCACCTGGTTTGTTACTCTTCTCTCACAAGTCACCCTCTTGATTTGCCTGTTATTCAATGTCTGAAAACTTTCGTTTCGTATTTTTGTTTCGTGTATTTTTTCTCCCTGGCTAGTTGTTAAGAAAAAGGATAAATCTGGTCCCTCATGTTCAGAAGCCAAAGTCTGAGATGCTAAATTTCCATATGAACTATTTTTATATTGCAGCAAAATCAGCTTCCCTTGTTTAACTGTACCTTCCCCCACCTCCTCTTTGGAAAATCTATTCCACTCAAAACACTCTGCACGAGTTTGCAGGGCATCAGCCTATGTTTGGGCTCTCCAGGTAGGAGTGGGGAAAAAGGCACATACAGTCATCAATAGGGCATTCAAGTACTGCAGTGTTGTGCATTATTGTACTACATAAGATTCCGAACATGGAAGCCGTAAGATGCAAAAGTGGAGTAGGTATATCTAAACTTACTTATTCACAAAATCCTTAACATGGACCACAGGTCCATGTATGATTTACCCCTACTTCTCTCCAGTCTTATCATGTGTGATTCTTTCCCTTGTTTACTATGTATCAGTCACTCAGGCCCCCTGTCAGTTCCCCAGACATACCAAGTTCTATCCTACCTCACAGTCTTAGTGGATATATTCCCCTGCCTAGAGCGCTCTTCCTCCTTTTTTTTTCCTTTTGATAAATGCGTGCTCATCTTTCAGATGTCAACTTAAATGTCAGCTTACTCCTTCCATTATCTCTGATTCTGCTACATAGTTTTTTCCTTTTACAGCACTCATCACAATGTGTAATTGTTTATGAGATTATATGATTAATTTCATTTTCTCCTACTAGATTATAATTATTTACATCCTGCATATTTTGGTCACCAGAGTGTGAGCTCCTCAAGGGAAAGTGCTAGATTGTCTTTGTCTAGTATCTCTGGTGCCCTCCACAGTACCTGGAGAAGCATGGAACATGAGCACAGAGAAGATGCTCAATGAATATTTATTGCACTCCTAAGATTCAAGGTCCTATGGGCTAAAGCCAAGGTCACCAAATCATAGCTCTTAGGTGTGTTTTGTTAGGATTGCAAACAGATTAAATGCCAACATTAAAAATCTGGAGATATTATCTAAGAATCTGGATTGTTGGGTTCTCTTTAACAAACAAAGCACAAAAAACAAAAACCCTGGAGATCTGATAACAATAGGACCAAACTCCTGCACAGAATTTGGCTGGACCTGGGTCTTGACTGCTCTCTTCTTCTTTTTGATCACCAGTCCCTTAGTGGACCCACTTTTTCATTGAATTACTCGCCTGGCTACTTTAGGCATCTGAGTTTGTGACCATTGCATTAGGGTAAAGCTTGACATTGGACTCTGTTGTGTCTTTTTTTTCCCTCCTCCAAAATGGCTTGATACTGATAAATGACGCATACTATGGGCTGAACTTGCATTTTGATGATAAAGAGGATTTAACTGTTAAAATTATCAGAAGCTGAGAAATGATAAAAGCTTAAATAACTTCCTGTGAGTTATAACATTATTCTAATCTAAAGAAGGAGGAAAAAAAAGTTTTTGAGGAAGAGTCTCCACTGATAAACAGGGAGCATTATCTCTGAAAAGTTACAAAAGAGCTTTGGTAGCAAAGCACAAACAGGACTGATAAGGAGAGCTGCCCTCTCAGGTCAACCTTGTGTATGAGCTGGAACTAGCATGGCTAGTTGTTGAGTTGCATGATCTTGAATCAAGTATGCCAGTCCTTATTCAACATTGCATGCTACACGGCCTCGTGAAGTTAAAAAATCATGTTTCTAGAGCTTCCACTGACCCAACTATTAAAATATCATAGGGTGTTTCTATAGCAGAAAATGATATTCTTTCCACTGCCTTCACAAGCTCTCAAAAGAACAAAAATGTTGTTCTTTGTCAAGTAAGAGATAACATTTGAAGTTCTTCCTCCCTTTCTGTTTCTGGATGAATGCTTGCTCATCTTTCAGATGTCAGAATAAATGTCACCTTATGCCTTCCTTGATCTCTGATTGTGATACATTTTTTTTTTTTACAGCACTCATCACAGTTTATAATTAAATATTTATGAGATTACATGATTAATGGTATTTTTCCTGCTAAATCGTGGGAGAAAGTACATGAACTTTGGGGGCAGAGTTGTGCTGTCTTGGTTATATCCCTTGCTAACTATGTGAACTTGGGAAAATTTCTTCTTTTTTGGTTTGAGAAACAAATATTTCTTTCTCACAGTCTGGAGGCTGGGAAGTCCAAGATCAAGGTGCCAGCAGATCCAGTGTCTGGTGAGGTCCCTCTTCCTGGTTTGCAGATGGACATCTTCTTGTATCCTCACATGTTTCTGTTCTAGCCAAGTATTAGCTTTAAACAAATCCCCAAGAATCCAAGAACTCTTAGCTGAATATTATGGACTCCCAAATGTCTTTTTTAAGTCCAAACGTCTCACTGGAGCCCTAGACTCCTTTACCAAGGCCTCCCTGACATGTCACACCTGTCTGTTCATTTCACTCCGGCCACATTGGCTCTTTCTGTTCTTTGAAAAACCAAGCTTATTTCCACCACCGGGTCTCTGCTTTTGCTGTTCCCTCTGCCAGAAACACTTTCCCTTAAAGTCCTAGCATGACTGGCTCCTTCTTATCATTCAGATCTC